TTCTTTAGCACTGTTTCTCAGATTTGTATATTCATATGTATTCTTACTTTTCTAAATAGTATAACCAACATTATAGTCCCTCTTTCGCTTAGTCCGTCGTGCGTGACGTAAAAGAAAACCGCGAGAGGAAAAAAATAAATAGCCGCGCTGAAACAGAGAGACCACTCGTAGTCTAATACAATATTATCGCAAATAGGCAGTGAGGTAAATTTAGTTTTGGGAAGCAGAACCCCGTATTTCTTGAAACTACACAGCGTTTTGGTATGACGGCTGCCATGCTCACGTTACCAAATAATTTTCTCTCCTTCAGGATAGAGGTGTAAGAGAGGTTATTTATATCTGAAACTCTAAGTCGTTCGTCAACGCATATGGGTTAGATGGAAAGTGGCATTCGTATGGAACCGTCACCTTGCAAGATGAATACGGTGGAAAACTGGCCCCGAGGTTATTCCGCGAACCCACTGAGCAAAGTGAACAAGCCGACAGATGTGGACGAAAGCTCTATTCTTAATAAACATTTCTCCTGACATATTTCCAGCTTAAGGTATTGTTAGTTTACGACGAAGTGGAAACAAGTAAATCAGTTAAAAGGAGCGTCAATCATTCCGAAAATACTGTTACAACACCAAGCAGAGATGTTGATCTTTCTCTTCTTCATGCCAGTCTTGAAAACGTCTCTGACTTCTTGGCCCCGCTGTGTTATGGCATCCCTTTAGATCAATCTCATTCAAATTTCAAAATCATTCAACCCCAGCGTTTACCCATACACCCCGCTAGAAAGCCTGCTTACAGGCTAATGCGTACATGTGTAAACGCGTTCGTAGTCCAATTTTTGAGACGCTTCTCTGTTTAATTAGACTGCAAAACAGTCGTAATTTTTTGCGAACGCGAGACGCGGTCAATATTCGAACGAAAGGTCTTGAGCGAGTGTAAAAACGGCGAGGGAGAATGGGGAGAGACGCTTTTCTCACCTCAAACCCCCAACGGGCGTGTGAGGCTCGCGGCTTCACACGCGAGGATCGCGCTTACGGCGCTTTGCACCTTCCGAAAACGTCCGAAAACGACTGTTTTGCAGTCTATTGTTTATTGGAAACGTAAGAATTGCCACTGAATTGCCCTTGGACGTAGTACAATACAGAAGATCGATATCGGAATGTGAAAGACACATTTAAATAATTCATTCATTTAGCTTATTTTCGAAATTATTTTGAACAGCGTCGTTTGATCCTGAAACCGAGCGGGGACTTGACAAAAGCGAAGTATCGATTTGTCAGTTTACTTTGACTGATGGGCTGAGAAAATGACACATTTTGTCGGAGTTCATTACACGCGTTTTATTTTGATGTTAACCAATTTCAGAATTAACTCAGAAGAGGTGCACAATCCAAATAAAAACAGGCAGATACCTTTCAAAGGTTCAACGGAAACCAGTCTCAAGTGAGAGAGGAAGATAAAGTCATCGAAAGCGTGCGAAAATTACTTCACGGCAGGTTCGCATGCTCGCCCACCCAACATTACACCACGATGAAAGAAATTACCAACTGTGATTTTATTATTAGTTGTTAC